CTTTCAGTAATGTTGAGGTCTGGGCTCTGGCCCATTGTGTTTTTCTATCCAGATATGCTTTAAGAATGGTTTGCACCTTAGGTAACGGAAACTCTAGGTCTTCTTGCCACAATTACTAAATCTTCTAGAAACCTTGGGGTGAGTTTTGACCCACATTTCCTTTTGGGTGATCATGTTAAAGCTGTGGTTCACTATCACTTGTATCACTTAGGAAATCTTTCCAAGTTGAATTCCACTGTGCCACCCTCTGGCTTGCAAACTGTTATTAATGCCTTTATTTCATCATGTCTGGTTTATTGTAATTCATTGTTCGCTTGTCTTAACAAATCTTCCTTGGACCGTCTGCAGATTGTTCAGAACACTGCTCCAAGGCTTCTGACTAAGTCATGTTAGAACTCACATATCTTACAGTTATTAATTCAGTTGCACTGGCTCCCCATTAGTATCAGGATCCACTTTAAGATTCTGCTAATACTTTTAGAGCCCTGTATGGACAAGCACCAGCACAAACTCATACATCCCCTGCAGGTCCCTGAGGTCATGGAATCAGAGCCTGCTGAAAACTGCACGAGTTTTTGCCCCAGTTTCCCCAAGACTCTGGAATTCTCTCCCACTGAGCCTGAGATCTATGGACTCTTTTTACTTTGATGTTCTAGCTTTTTTCATAAAGCATTTCTTTTTCTTGAAAGGTTCTCACTTAAATGGCTCACTGCACACCATGCTGAGATATGTCAGTAATCTTTGACAATTACTTATTTATTCACCTAAAGAAATGCAAACAACTTATGTGATTTGTGGCATGATGCTAGAAACAAAGTGCCTAAAGATACAATTTTAAACAGTTTCTTTGGAAAAATTAGGTGTTATGTCAGGACACAACACAGGTTCATCCTTTGAGTTAGGTGCCTTCTTAATCCTTAGCCCCCACTTTTTTCACACACTGGATTCATGATCAGTCAACAACCACCTCAGAAGAGGAAAACCTCCACTGGGGTTTAACCCATATCTCTCCACTTTTTGTTTTTTGAGCTGCAGAAACCTCTTAGATGACAAAAATTAAAGACCTGCATTAACCTTTTAAGACTATGTTTGAATGATTCATAGTGTTAAGTGGTTCATCAAACACAAACATATTCCTCCAAAAATAGTCAAGTACAAGAATTGGACTGGCAATGAGTGAAAAAGCTGCCAGAACCTGGAGGACTATTGCTTGAGACCACCAAATGACAAGTCTGGCTACTTTGAAGCTAAATATGAATAAACGAGGGATGGCTCAAGACGTTTTACACAGGACTTTATTTACAGTGTTATTTTGAATTACTTAACTTTTTGATAAGATGACATAGATGCATTCGTTTCTGCTATGCTGTGTGTACATGTTACATATCAGCAGTATTTCAACACCTCACAAATGTTACAGTGTTCGTTTAGGTGTTTTAATGACCATGAAAACATGTAACTACGTCTAACCTACACAATAACTCTTCCGAACCGCTTCCAGATAATTCTGCAGGAACAATACCCATGGCCAACTGCTGTGCTTCTCCCGAATAAAGACCGCGGTAAAGTGAGCCGTCATTTGTGAGCCGCGTTCAAGCCAGCTGCCTTCTATCCGCCGCATAAATTTCCTTGCGCTTTTACACCAGTCTTTACGGTAGCGCCTACCAAATTACAATGGAACAGCCCAATACAGCCATCGTGACAGTCTGGTTGCATATTAAAAAATTCATTAAAAATCATTCTTAAAAGTTGATGCCAAGCTTTCAACACAATCCTCTTCTGGGCCAGGTTTTACCCAGATTTACTGTAATATTACTCAGAAATCACAGTAAACTCATATTCAGTGCAATACAGTCAATACACTACAATTATGTCTATTTCAAAAATTCATTAAAAATCATCCTTAGTAGTTGAGGTCTAACTTTCAACACATCCCTCCTCTGGGACACCTACTGTACCTGTGTGCCAAGTTTCATCCAGATTTACTGTAAAATTCCTCAGAAATTAAAGGAAACTTATATTCAACGCAATACAGCCAATACAATAGAATTATGGAAATTTCAAAAATTCATTAAAAATCATCCTTAGTAGTTGAGGTTTCAACCCTTTTTCTAGTCAGTGGGTGTGTGGGCAGACAACTCTGGCTTGTCACCCAGTTGGATTTCCTGGTATTTGTAAGATGGCACTATCTACAAATCAGGACACATTGACTATGATATTTAAAAATGACATGATGACATAGTCCTTGGTCAGTTTACCAAGCATTTCTCAGTTTTGTTCTTTATAGTTCTGTTCATCATATCATTGTTTGTGAGTCCTGGATTATTTGATGATATGTTTACATTATGCATTCTTTTGTTTTCAGTTCCATATTGCTTTTAAGTGTAGTTCTTCTTCAGCGTTCCACAAGTGGATGGAAGACTTGTGAAAACACTCTAGTGTTAAAGCCAGTCTTGTCTTCATGTCTGTTTATGGTTTTGTCTGTGTCAAGCTCGTGTGTCTTAGTCTGTGTTTTAGTTTAGTGGCCTCTTGTCTCTTTCTTGTGTTGAGTCTTACTTCCACTGTCTTCTTATTCCCAATGTATCCCTGCTGTGTTACACAGCTGTCTCCAATTCCCCTAATCGCAATCCTATTTATACATTTTGCCAATCTCCCGGTCTGAAGTACATTATTCTATTCGATTCTATTCTATTTATACAGCGCCAAATCACAACAACAGTCACCTAAAGACACTTTATGTTGCTGGGTAAAAACACAACAATAATACAAAGAAAACCCCAACAATTTAAGTACCCCATATGAGCTAACATTTAGTGTGAGTGGGAAGGAAAAACTCCATTTGAAGAGGTAGAAACATCTGGCAGAAACAGGCTCAAGGAGAGACAGCCATCTACTGTGACTGGCTGAAGTTGATGAAAAGGAGACAGGAAAACATATACACTGTGCAAGAGATGCATACTAACTAATGATTAAATGCAGAGAGGTGTATAAACACAGAACGAGCAAAGAAGGAAAAAATTCATACATGATAGGAAGCCAGCAAGAGCCTATGCTTATTGCAGCACAAATAAGGGAAGATTCAGGAGCACCCGATCCACTATAACTGTATTATTTGTCAAAACTGGGGTTTTTAATGCTAATCTCAAAAGCAGAGACAGGTGTTTGTCTTCTGAATTAATTTAGAATAGAATAGAATTCAACTTTATTGTCATTGCACATGTCACAGGTACAAGGCAAGAAAATGCAGTTTGCATCCATCCAGAAGTGCTTTAGCCATGATATAGATATATTTGAATATATATTAGCAATAATATAGGTATGTATATTACAGAAATGGGTCTATTATGGTATGTTACAATGTACACGGTATGAAGGTATGTTATGAATATGCTATAACTATAAGTATAGTTACAGGCTGTAGTGAGTACAAGCTATGTACAGGCTATGAACAGGATATAAATATGAAAAACTATACAGAATATGAAATAAAAAAAAACTATACAGAATATGAGATATACAGCTATACAGAAATGTGAACTATGCAGGTTATAATTTTTATAAAATTAAAAATGATCGTATTGTACAGAATGATGTGAGCTGCATCCACAGAAGAGAGGTCTAAGAGATGAAGACTCTGATTACCGTTCAACCTTAAAATTCTATAGGAACCACAAGTACACCTAATATTCCAAAATTAAAATCTGGATTTCAGAGCGAGTCAGTGAAGACAAGCAAATATGCTGTCTCTTTATAGTCCCTGTCATGACTCTCTCAGCAGCACTTTTGATCCATCAATATTAAACAATTATTGATGCAGCAGATTGAGATGAAACCTGGCCCAGAGGTACAGTAGATGTCCCAGAGAAGGAATGTGTTGAAAGTTCGACCTCAACTATTCAGGATGATTTTTAATGAATTTTTGAAATAGACAAAATTGTAGTGTATTAACTGTATTGAACTGAACACAAATTTACTGTGATTTCTGAAGGATATTACAGTAAATCTGGATGAAACTTGGCACACAGGTACAGTAGGTGTCCCAGAGGAGGGATGTGTTGAAAGTTGGACCTCAACTACTAAGGATG